TACTGAGAAGAAGTGTGAGGAATAATAGATTTCCAACAAATTATTCAAATTTAACATGAATTCAATCAAAAGTCCCAATACATCTTCTGTGCTGTATCTTGAAGAGGAAAACAAATATCTGATGTTGCAAGATGACTTGTAGCATCTGTCCCATTTGTCATCATTGGGCCAGCGCGGGAAAATGTGTGGATAAAAACTAAATATACAAGCTGGGTACATTTGGACATGAATAAGAAACTTCGAATTGATTTATTTGTCATATTGCTGGAGGCGTTTACTTTTTTTTTTATTTTTCTTTTTTTTAGAAAACTTTATTTAATTTATATCAAATCTACAGTTTCCACAAATACATACATGGTTCACGAGTATACAAACATAAGAACACAAAGACAAAGACAGATACAAGAAAAAGTGCTGTGTGCTTGGGTCAAAAGTCCAACAAATGCCACGGGAGGGACTGGCTCTTATCAATAGTTCTCCTTCTCCTGAGTTCAGTGACGACATGTTTCACCACCATGTTGCCGTCCATTACAGTCTGTTGTATTACCATTATACATCTGGTTTTCCAGATTTTAAAACATGTGATGCTGACAATGAGCTGGTAAAGTTCTCTTTGTTTAACGGACATCTTCTCATCAAACAGAGCAAACATCACAGATTTATAGTTCACATTAAAGACTAGGCCGCGGCCTTGAAGCAAGGCCCAGACCTGTTGCGCTCTGTAGCAGTCTATGAACAGATGATTTTGTGTTTCGTCCTCGTTACAATGCATCATGGGACATTTTTTCATAGTGACATAGCAGCTCCATAACACAGTGGCTCTTACAGCGAGTCTATTCATTGCCATGAGCCATCGGACATCTCTGATGCTCTCCGAGAGATTCTTATCCTTCAAAGTTTTTAGTACTTCCTCACCCTCGCCATCTGTCAAATTGTTATATTTAACGAGTCCACCATGTTTGAAATCGTTGATCTTTTTATAGATAGCTTTACTTGGTAGACTCTTCCAGTTGATACGTAGGTGTTGATAGAGGTTGGCAAAATCTCCGTATAATAACTTGTAGTCAGGGCCCTGTCTCTGTTTCCCCTTTCTCTTCCTCCACATGGAGCCGTCTCCTAACCAGAGGGCGTTTCTGGAGATGGCAGCAGAGACATTTTTAACAAAGGTAATATGTAACCTGACGCCGAGCTCTAGGGCCCCTAACCTACCGTACACTTTACTTTTATACATTAGTTCTCGTTTGGTCACTTCCCTGGTTGTGCCCCAGATTAAGTTCACACACTGTTTATTTAACTGGATGATCATTTTGTTGGATGGAGGAAAAATATTGGATAGAAAAAGTAGTTTAGATAAGATGAAAGTCTTGACTATATTTACTCTGGATTTGTAATTAGTATTTTTGTTTTGCCATTTTTTCACCTCTTCTTTAATTTCACACAACTTGTTTTCCCAATTTCTTTCACTACTTTTACTGTCACAGAATGTTAAACCCAATATTTTTATTTCTGGTTTGACGTTAATGTTAATGTTACATTGATGGTGTTCGTCCCCGATCCAAACTCCCTCTGTTTTGTAATGGTTTAATTTAGCTCCAGATGCGAGTTCATACAGAGATAGGTTGTTCGTTAAAGCATCCATCTCCAGCTGGTTTTTTACGATGACAGTAATGTCATCAGCGTATGCGATGGCTGTAACTTTGGGCATATGACCTACACTTAAACCTGAGGTTAGATGATCCGAGTCTATTTTTTTAATTAGAGGATTGATGGCGAGGATGTATAACGCAGCACTTAGGGGACAGCCCTGCTTCACTCCTCTCTCTACTTGAAAGGTTTCAGTTAAAACACCATTTACATTTACACAGATATTTGATTTAACATACAGACATCTCACCATGTGAATAAAAACATCGGGGAAGCCGTATGACTTCATCAAAGCTCAGAGGTAATCTCTGGAGATGTAATCAAAGGCCTTCTTCTGATCAAGCCCAACAACATCAAAACCTTTTTTATCAGGATCATGTAAGAGTTCTCTTAGTATGCACAAGTTGTCCCACATCAGTCTGCCTTTAATTGCACACGTTTGTTCTTTATCTATAATTTTGTCCAATATTTCATTTAGTCTATTCATAATTATTTTAGCAAGGATTTTATAGTCTGTATTCATAATAGTTAGATGTCTGTAGTTATCCAAATCAGCATCGTCGCCTTTTTTAAACAATAAACATAAAACACCTTGATAAAAGGAGTCTCCCATACAGCCGCTGTTTATACCTTCATTGTACACAGCAGTGAGGAGGTTTAAAACATCTTCATTATATAATTGATAAAACTCAGTGGGCAGACTGTCAGGACCAGGACTTTTACTGATGTTAAGTTGTTGGATAGCCTCCATCACTTCCTCTCTTCTTCTGTCTCCACTAAGATGAGTGAAGTCTAATTCCTTGTATGAGGGCATTGTTTCCAACAGTGTTGACACAGCCTACATCTATGTCTATTCTCTTATATGCATTGACACACAGATTTCTGATTACTTCCCTTTTTTCCTTTTCACAGTAAAAAGTGTCACTTTCATGGTTTTTTATACATTTAATAAATATATCTTGAATTTGTTTTTGACTTGATTTCAGAGCATGAATTACATTCCCTCTGCTATCCGAGTCTGACTGTTTATAGACATTATATAATAACTCATGATTGAAGTTGTTTATTTGTTCCTTAATACTTGTCATAGTTTCCTCGTCTACTGTAGTTTTTTGTTTCTTCTGTTTCAGACTAATGTATTGCTTCATTAATTCATCATAATATATATTTTTTGCTTTATTTAATTCTCTGCATTTGAATTTGAAGAAATTTTTCACTCTATATTTTAATATTTCCCATAATTTAATATTAGATTTGGTTAGAACTTTTACTTGTGTTATTTTTTGTATTTCCTGTTTTAGCTCCTTTAATAAATCTGTATTTTTTAGGCATTGAGTATTTAGTTTCCAGAAGCCTCTACTAGCTGAGGTCCCAGAAGACACCGTTGTTTTTACTAAGAGGTGATCCGAGAAGTCATTTAATAAGGTTCTATAGTTTATTGCTTTGAAGTGTGATGATACATAAATTCTGTCTATACAGGTTTTGGTTTTTGAGTCAAATCTAGTGAATTCATGCCCTGAAGGGTTTACAAATCTACATACATCTATTAATTTAGTTTCTTCACATACTTGTTTTAAAAATTTGCCCTCTGGACTCAGTTTGAAGGGCTTTGTACTATATCTGTCTTTGTCTTCAGTAACTGTGTTAAAATCACCACATAATATAATTTTATAACCTACTGACAATAATTCTCTAAGTTTTTTAAAAAGACCAATTTTTTGGGATTTGTCTGGAGAAGTATAGAGATTTATTATTCTGTGTTTTTCTCCTCTAAAAAGGCAATCTATCATTAAAAGCCTGCCTGGAATAATGTCCCTTCTTCTAATAACAACAACATCATGAGTCTTAAAGAAAATACCGACACCATCAGCCTTGCTCTCACCTATAGATATTACACTTTTACCCTTAGGCCACATGGCGCAGACATTATCAACGTCGTTATTTGTGTTCAGTCTGAGTTCCTGAGTACATAGAATATCAAAGTCAGTGTCCAATAAATACTCAATTTTTTGTTGACGTTTTGGGAGGCGTTTACTGGAACCTCCTCCTCCTCCTGAAGGAGCAGCCCCGGGTCCTGAGACTTGGAGCTGGGGGAGAAGTCTGAGGCAGAGGGTGCTCTATGAGCAAGGCCGACTGAGTCAGTAGAATTTGAAACTGTCCTTGACTGAATGAATCACTGTATCAATGAAGATGAATCATGCTGTATTCAAGTTATTTATTACGAATTGTTTTAGTCGGCGTTCTATGATTACAGTGATCTTCCATGTTAGTGCAACACACTGCTTCAGTCATACATAGTGGACATTCTTTCCAGATGGATTTGAATGTATGGGTAGTAGCACATGGCAGTGATCCACATGATGATGCACACAGTCAGGCTCGAGGATTCCTCTCGTCTAAATGCGCAGGATGATACCGCAGCTCCGATACGGGCTTCACACTCCAACCCACCTTAAAACGGTTACCCTCCGGTGCTGCATTCAGGTCCTACGTGAAAAAACGCAATCATCCTTTTTCGACACAGAATTTAGAAACTTGCAGTTTTGTGCATAAATCCTGATTCCTCAGTACCAAACTAAATAATGTGTCACACATCAACACCTAGAGCCAAGCAATGGTTGTATTACTATCGTAAACGAGCAAGGGGGATTTGCATTGGATGCCCTCACAGGGTAACCACCTGTTAGATTTTGCCAACTGTGGTTGAGATACTACGAAGTCATCGCTTCTAAATAAAGGGTGAACTCATTCATTGAAAAACTGGCCTCTTGTCCTTGTAAAAGGTAGTTTCAGTCTTAATCAATCCTTAGGATGGTTACCATGTTACCACAACAATCATAACTTTTGCCTTCTGTTTGGTATTTTTCCCCTGCAGCATGCTGTAATAATAATAACAGCAATGTCTCAACACTTCTCAACACAAAGTACCTAAAAAACAGATAAAACATAACATAGAAACAGCAATAAAAGAAGAAAAGCACACAAAAGAGTAATCTTTTGCTTCTAACTCTACTATTAAATCGATTAGCTAGTGTTTAAAAACGGGATATCATGATTTTATTTCCAATAATGTCAATTTAAATGCGTTAAGGGTGCAAAGGCCATTAATGAGAAAGCAAGCTGTCTTTCTAGCTGACATGAGCACACTAAGGTGGTGTCCTTTAACTTAAGCATGAAATCTCCGAGTATGACCATGTTCAGTGAACGCAACACTCCATCTGAGAAAGAGACAGCGCAGGTGACCAATCAGCGTCCGGACTTCCTCCCACGCCCATCAATGGAACGAGTGCGGAGGCGGGGCCGCGGTTATCTAGGAGCTCGCGCTTGGTTTCACTGCGTCGTCTGCTCTCGTCTCATTGGCGCAGGTGATCCGTCTCAGGATGCGAGAGGAGAGCGGAGGAGAGGGGAAGAGAGGGGAAAGCGCCGATGGAAAAGTGTCCAGGGCTCGGTTAACAAGAAAACAGGATACCGGCCCGCTTCAGTTCGTCCTGGGACACTCGGCGATGAGAGATTAACCGAAAGGGGCACTTTGAGATATGATGAGGTTTATTTCTGGCCGGCAATAGTACTATGATTTGGTATGTGGCCACTTTGATAGCAAGTGTATTCAGCACCCGAGGAACGGCCGCTCAAGGTGAGTCGAAGTGCAGTATGTGTATCCAATGACGTTTATTGCTCAAGTTTTAACTTAGCTTTTTTTCTTAAAAAAAACCAAAACGTTTTCCCGCTTCTCTGTTTGCTAACTTTGAATATGTCGCTTGTATGTTAAGAAAATGTCACACTCTACGCCATGAAGTTCATACGTGTGTTCACCACCGCACCTGAGCGGAGCCCGGCCGGCGAATGATGAGGGAAACGGGCCGGTTAACCGTGAAATGACTTGTAACACACGGAGGATAAGGAACTCCTTTGGTTAAACCTTTAAAAAAAAGAAAAAAAAAGAAGACAACCTGTTTATTTCCACTGTAATACACCGCGGACATGCGTGTTAAACGGCACTACTGGGGAGTTCTGTCGTTTGTGGCTCCGGGGTGATAGATTGCGGGCTGTTTGGGTTGACATGTCCCTCCCAACATGTGTGAGTTTGCTCGCCTGGAGCTCCAGGACGGTTTTTTTTTTGGACTGCAGCAGCTGGGTTACACTGAGCAGCACACCGGCTTCAAATGCGAAGGCAAATGTGATTGGCATGGTGCGCTGGTGTAGATGTCATACAAATGCTATGAGTGGATGAACCTCTTCGTATGGAGCCGTTCTTTGCCGAAGCAGAGTCTGAGCAGCTGTGTGTCCGTTAGAGGGAGCGCTTTCTGAGGCAACACCTGATCGGGGTGGATTCCAGAGAGAGGCTGCTTCTCAGGCATGTCAAGGGGGATGCAACTTTGATCACTTTGTATGGTGACTTCATGTGAGCTTGAAACAGTTTACTTTATTTCATTTTAACAAATCTGAATGTGCTTTCTTGTAGAGAAGAGCACAGGTTTTTGTTTGACAAGATGGCGCCATAGTCTGGAGATCACCTGCAGCTGACCTCTGACCTCCCCGTAGAGCGCTAAAAGAGAAGGTCATTGTTGTGTCTGAAAGCCGATGGGTCATCTTTCACGACCTCAGAAACAGGGCTGCAACTGGTGATCATTTTCATTACCATCTGTTAATCTATTGCTATTTTTCTATTGTTTGGAATATTAAATATCAGAGAATATAGAAATTTGGCAATGACAATTTCCAAAATCCCCCAAAATAAATATTCCATGGCTTTGTTTGACCAGCTAACAGTCCCAAACCTAATGGTTGAGATTACTGTCATACAACACGAACCAAACACAAGGGAATATAGACATTTGTGAAGCTGAAAGCAGTGAATTTTGATGATAAAATAAATTATTAAATAAATAAAAAATAATTATCTAATGATTGACAATCTATTAATCATCTAACAAAAGCTCTAATACAGCTCTATGCAAAATGACATCATCCCCTAATCCCTGGACTCAACATGCAGCTGAGTGGTGAGAAAGTAGAGCTGCACCTCATCCTAAAAAAAAAAAAGAGGAATCCCTGCTACTTTTACACCTCCCCCCTCCTCCTTCCTCCCCTTCCCTACCACTCATCTTCAAGAGAGAGGAGAGATGGAGGAAAGTGGGGCAGCGGCTGTGCTTCAGCATCACTGATTCACGACGAATGAAGGAGAAGCTTGATGACATCAAACAAGCTTCATGTCGTCACGCTTTCAAACTTTTTTTTCACACCAAAAGTCTTGCAGGTTTTAACGCGTGTTCACTTCCGTTGACATCCCTCTGGCACGCCAACGGGGCCCGGCTACATGTTATGTGCAATTATGTAACGTCCCGCCTAAAGAGGATACACTTAAAGCGTCGTCTGCCAAATGAAGGGGGGGGGGGGCGACTTAGGGAGATGTTTTTAAGCGGCTTCCCTCGTCTCTTCCGTGGTCGGGAGGGCAGGCGACTTGGCAGAAAACGAGCACCGACTTCTGAAGAGCGTCCCTTCAGTTGACCGGCTATGCATGTACGATCCCGTGCTTTAACGTGTCGCTCCTGCGTGTACACGGGCCAACACGCTAGCCGTCGGAAGCGGGTGGCCTTCTGGCCAAGTGCTGCCATCTCCAGCTGGCGTATGGCGAAGCGAGAACCCTGGACCCGAGCCAGACCGTCTCTCTGTTCTCTCCCACTCCTCTCCGGTTTCCTCTCTTCCTCACCTTGTGTCATGCCCTCCCTCCCTCTCACTCCGTCTGACTCAGGTCCTTGCCAACCTCCCTCCGTCTCCCCTCTCTCCTGCTCCTTCCTGTCGCCTTCCTCTTCCGTACACTCGGGTGAACTTGTATCCCTCCAGGTTTCGAGTGGCCTCTCTCTCTCTCTCTCTCTCTCTCTCTCTCTCTCTCTCTCTCTCTCTCTCTCTCTCTCTCTCTCAGCGATGGGCCGGGTAGGCGAGGAGAAGGGAACATGGTGGGCTGTGTTAATGGACGCTCGGGGGTTGCGCTCCACGGCAACCGTCTGCTGCCATACTTGTTACTCCTGCCCACGCACACACACAAAAGCATCCCCTGGGGGGGCAGTGTGTCTGTAACCAGGATCTGAACATATGCCTGCTAACAGGCTTGTTTTTAAATGAAAGCATGTGTTTGAAATTCAATTTCCAGTGTTTTTATCCAAATATCCACTATGAATAGATCCTTTTTGACAGTTTACATTGACTTCGGTATAGTTGTAATTATTTTTTTGGGACGGTGGTAAAAAACAAAAATAAAGGGTTCGTCTGGATCCCTGCTGTCAAATGTAGTTCTTAGAAGTGAAATCAGAATCGGCCAAGAACATTGCAACCGGTGCATCTCTATGTTGGTCTGTATGCGAAACACGACCCTAACCTGAGAGAGTAGTTGTATAGTCTTCCGTGGCTCTGGAGGAGCTTTGTCAAGTCTGCTAGGACTGCACTGACTCCAGTGATTCCACTTACTACAAGTTGCTGCTGTCCAGCCCTCTCTGTTCTCAGCAGCAATAAGAAAACAAGTGGAGATCACTAGTTTCATAAACACTGCAGTCCCAGAGAGGAGAATCAAGACAGGATGAATGATTCTAAGTTAGGAGCCGATAAGGTTTTCTTTGGTGTGGTCAAAGGCTGCGCCACATAACTGAGCCCTCTCTGCCTCCGTTGACGTTGTGCTTATTAGAAACAATAGTGTGGTTTTATTTGCATCAAGGCGGCGAGCGTTCGACTACTTTCCTTAACACTGGTTTTCTTCGTGGACAGTGAACTGAAGACAGCACCGTGGGCTTTTTATAGACCAAGCGGTTCATTGAGATAAATAATCTGCTGATTAATTAGTTCATTTTTGTTAGTTGCAGTCCTAAAAGCTTTGCCAGTAATTCCTCTTCTAACAATTACATCCTTTTCCTTGTCCATGACAATCCATGACTTCCTATATTTGACAAGAATGTTCACTGTCCATGTTTCCATGTTTTTATGCGTGTGATAGAAACAGCAGGTTTTTATTAGTGTTGGTCCTCTAAGCTGATTGGGGAAGTTTTTCGTTTGCATCTCTGACCTCTGACCTCTGCAGACGAATGTATTTACAGCTGGATTCGTTTTTGGTGTGGTCCTTCTCGCTGCATGTCGGCTCTGCGTTTGCGTGGGTGAAACGAGATTATTCTGGAGCCTCCGGAAAACTTTTGAACTTGCGTTTGTGATTCTCTGATGTGTTTTTAGTGTATTTTTGAGTGAAGTGTGTGTGTGTGTGTGTGTGTGTGTGTGTGTGTGTGTGTGTGTGTGAATGGAGCATTTTCTGCCTAATTAATTCTAACTCCCAGAAACTTCTCCCAGTACCCCTTTCTTTCTTATTTTTATGATCCCTACAGTATGATCACTTAATGAGTGTTCTCCCAGTAGGTGGGTGGCTACTTGGCAAAAAAACGAAGCTGCTGACCAAGAAAAGAAGAGACTCGTGTCTCGTTCACAGCATGGATTGCAGTCTTGTGGCTGTTCAGCATTATCTCGTTGTTGAGCCTTCTGTGTGGCTTTTTAAATTAGGAGTGCTCCGAACTGATACATTTATTGATCTGATGCCCCTTTTTATTTCGGATGTAGAATAAACACATTTAATTTCCTTTAAATTCTTCACAATAAAAGTCCTTTCCTCCCCACAGTATAAGCAGACTTGTGTTTTTTTAATAATAGCTGCTTACAAAGCTCTGCATATTCTGTGATAAACATATTTTCCTAGAAATTCTTCTCCCCTTTATTTTTGCTGCTTATTTGTTTTCCCTGCAGTATTAGTAGACTTGTTTTATTGAAGAATAGCTGCTAATTGCTCATAAACATATAAGTCACAATAAAAGTCCCCCGTTATTTTAGCTGCTTACTCTTCTTCCCTGCAGTATTGGTAGATTTGTTTTATTGCAGGATAGCCCCTAACAAATCTCCACATTTTCCTATATAATTTTCACAATAAAAGTCCCCTGATATTTTGTTATTTAAAAGATTTTATTTTGAAGCAGCCAAATCGGGAAGTGTTGGGTTTTAATCAGCTGTTACTGGGTTTCCTCCTCTCTTCTCATTGCTCTTTCGGTAAGGTGGGGAAGATGATGGAGACCTATGTTTAATAGATTGTCCGGATTGTGCCAACATGCATACTATACCTTACCGAAATCAGAACTCAATGCGAGCCAGATTTTTCAGTATAACTTGACAACCTCTCACCGGTTCACTTACATCTTACAACTCCCCCCTGGACTCTACCAGTGGATCAGATGAATGAGCCACGACTCCCATCAGTCTATTTTTATGCTTTTAGGACTTCAAACGAGTTATTTCCTCTCTGGAGTGTACATGTTCTTTAAAGTTCAGCGTGTGTGTGTGTGTGTGTGTGTAGGTGTGCATTGCTTCTCATTGCAGACCAGAGTTGAAACTTGAATCACAGCGAGGTGGCCTGCTCTATGCCCCGTGGCTTTGGATAAATTGTTTCTCTAATTCCAACACTCCACTTCCTGTATTGAGGTCACACATTCTGGTAATCACAGGATGCATCATGGAAGGCCCACTGGTTTTAATTTGTTCCATGAATCTATGAAATGTTTGTTCAGCAGTAAGAAAGTTTCGATGTGATGAGAGCCCATGGGGGCTCCATTT